AAAAAAAAAAGAAAACGATGGGAACTATGGGAAATCCCCCAGGCCATTCCAGGAGCTAATGAGGAGGAAGTGAGGGCTGTAAGGGTCCAAGGAGGTTATGGATCACCCAATAGCATTCTGATCCCTCCTGGACTTCAGAGTACTCCATGATAGCAGGAATAGAGTCCTGGCCTCTGGATCTGGAACCCCTTGGGAATCCAGCCCAGCGCTCTATAGGAACAGGTTCTGTTTTTATTTGACACCTTCTATTCCATGGCAACACTGTGATCCTATTTGACAGAAGAGGAAACTGACTTAGAAGCTGACTTTCCTGATGTACAGAAGTCACTTTGGCCATGCCACCTTCCTACACTTGCTCTTCCTCATTCCTCCCACCCAGGCCGCAAGTAGGTAGTTAATAAGTGAAATGAATTGCAGAATGGGTATTGGGAGAGATTCTTCTACCCACACATCAGTGCTTGTGTCATAAACATCCTAGAGCCCCAGAGTTCTTAAGAACCCATAAGATATAAGTCAGCAGGACAAAGCTTCACCTGTCTGGAACTTAACCTGGCAGAGACATTACCTAGAAGAACCTCACCTGTCTAAACCTTACCTGGCAAGGTTATTACCTGGTAAGACCTCACTTGGCAGCAACATCACCTATTAGAGCCTCACCTGGCTGGATTGCAGGCGCTTACTCTCCAGTCCCGTCTTCTCCTGCATCAGGGCCTCCTTCTTGGCCAGGATGGCCTCCCGTTTGTGGAGCTCCTCCCCCAGCTCCTCCAGCGCCCGCCGTTGCTGCAGCACTTTCTCCATCTCCTGGTCCAGCCACTTCTTCTGCTCCTCAATCTTCTGAGGGAAAGTGGGAGGCAACTCAGTACTCACCGATGGCTGTATAAGCCACCACTCAAGGTCCACTTGGGAGAATGGTGCACCCACCAGGCCAGGGCTGCCCAGCCAGGCTACAGGAACTTTTGAAGATGCAGGCACAGCCCAATCCCACCTGCTGCTGCTCCAGGCTGACCACAGAGCCATTGCTGCCACTGCGTCTCTTCCTCTGGAAGGCTGCAATCTCTTCTGTCTTGATCTTCAGGATCTTTTGTTGCTGTTCATGCTTTAGCTCTAGCTCCTGGGTAAAGAAGCTCATGAGCAGGGCTGCTTTATGCTGCCAGCATCTTACCAAAGCCTCCCAGTGATCCCAAAGCCCACTCCTGTGAATCCTTCCCCAGGCTCACCTCCCACAAGTCTACCTAGGGACCTAGAAACAGATGCAAACACTTTTCTTATCTCTGTGAGATCCCAGTCACCTACATACTTTATCTCACTGAAGTTTCCCCTTAGCTTTGAGATGGAAAAATAGATTCAGAGAGGCCAAGTGACATGTTTTATAAGACCACATGGAAGACCCTGCCTAGGCTTCCCTAGCTGAGCCCCCAGCTCAGTCTCCTGGCCTGGACAGAGTGTGCCCCACCCCACCATGAGCCTGACCTTGACACGGTGCTGCCGCTTGCTCATCTCTGTCTCTAGGCGCCGCTTCTGCTCTGTTTCCTCTCGAAGCCGCCTCTGCAGCTGCCCCTGCTGCTGCCGCATGAGCTGTACATTCCTCTCGAGCTCCTGCACCCGCTTCTCGCTCTGGGCTGACAGTGACACCAGCCGCTCTGTTGTCTGCTTCTTTTCCTTCAGCACCTGGGACCCACATAGTCTCTGTGAACAGGCTACTTTGAGCCTGGCATAGTGTCCAGCACTCAACAAAAGTGGGAAAGACACAAGGACAGATAAGTGGACAGAGGGACAGATGGAAAAACAGGCAGGTAGATAATAGATGAATAATAAAATACAAATAATGGTAGCTACTATGACATTTACTATGGTATCATACTAAGTACACTGGATTAAATGATCCCAACAAGCCTAAGAAAAAGTATAATTAAGGCACAGAGAGTTTATAAAACTTGATCAAGGACACACAGTAAACGGAAGAGTGGGGACTCACACCTGAGCAGTCAGGTTCCAGAGTCCAGCACTCAGCCATTCTACTTTATTGCCTCATGGACATCAAAACTGAGAAAAGAAGGAATGAGTAACTGGTGGACAGCTGCAAAGATGGGTAGGTGGGTGGGGTCACATATAAGGCAAAAAACAGATGGATAGTGTTGTGAGCTGAATTGTGTCTCCCAAAATTCCTATATGGAAGCCCTAATCCTAGTACTTCTGAATGTGACTGCATTTGGGGAGAGGGTCTTTAAAGAGGTAATTAAGGTAAAATGAGGCTATATGGGGGAGCCCTAATCCAACAGAACTGGCATCCTTATAAGAGATACCAGGGATGCACAGACACAAAGAAAAAGCTATGTAAGGACACAGCAAGGTGGCCATCTACAAGCCAAAAAGAAAGGCCTCACAAGAAACCAGACCTGTGGACATCTTGATGTTTGACTCCCAGTCTCCAGAACCATGAGAAACCAAACTTCTATTGTTTAAGCCACCCAGTCTCTGGTACTTTGTTATGGTAGCCTTAACAAACTAACACACATGAGTTAGTAAAACAGAATGGAACGGTGGATAGACACATGGATAAATAAGACAGTTGGTCAATCAACTGATAAAAGGCTGGACAGATGGATTAAATGAACCGCTAGACTGATGGGCAGACAGACAAGGGAGAATGGGATGTAGGGTAAGTGAGTGGAGAGATGAAAGGTGGATAGGTGGTTGGAGGGAGGTGAGGGCTGAATGCCGAAGGGCAGGTTTCTTTAGAAGCCCACCCCTCACCCTCTGAGTGGTCTCCTAGGTGGTGATCAGGTAGTACCCGCCTCCTTATTTCTGCTGTGTTTAAAGCTGAGCTGAGTTCCGGGCACGGTGGCTCACACCTGTAATCCTAGCACGTTGGGAGGATGAGGCAGGAAGAGCTCCTGAGCTCAGGAGTTCAAGATCAGCCTGAGCAAGAGCGAGATCCAATTCCAATAGCCAGGCATTGTGGCAATCGCCTGTAGTTTCAGCTACTTGGGAGGCTAAGGCAAGAGGATGACCTGAGCCCAAGAGTTTGAGGTTGCTGTGAGCTATGACACTAGGGCACTCTACCAAGGGCGACAAAGTGAGACTCTGTCTCAATAAATAAATAAATAAATCTGAGCTGAGATTCAATATGACACCAGCCTCAGGGTGGGAAGGGCCTATCACCACCAGCTAGGGATGGGGCACAAGGATCTGAGCATGTATAGATTAGGTTCCACACAGCCTGGGCCTCAGAGCCCACATGTCCTGATCCCAGGGACCACAGCCTAGGAAACCAGAGGTGCCTACACCCTTTACTCTGAGGCCCTGACACTGACCTGCACCTGGCTCTGGGCTGCAGCAACTTTTTTGCGGAACTCCTGGAGCCGAGACCGCTCACCAGCATCCTTGGGCTCCTTGCCCTCCAACTCTCGCAGCTGCCTCTGGCCTTCACTCAGCTCAGCCCGCACCCGCTCTGCCTCCTGCTCCAGTTCCTGGATGCGCAGGCTGTGCTGGCGGTTCAGGGCCTGCGCTGCCTTCCCTGGAAGAAAGTGAGCGATCAGGTACGCTCCACCCAGAATGCCACCTATTCGTCCTCCAGGAGCTTCCTCAGCCCTTGGACATGTGCATGGATTTTGCCAAAACTTTGTACCACCGGTACCATGATTTACTTGAATATTTTTCTTCAAACCAACTCACTTTTTTTTTTCCAGATAATCTCACTCTGTTGCCCTGGGTAGAGTGTTGTGGCATTAGAGCTGACATCATCCTCAAACTCTTGGGCTCAAACAATCCTCTTGCCTCAGCCTCTTGAGTAGCTAGGACTATAGGCACCCACCACCATGCTTGGCTAGTTTTTCTATTTTTAGTAGAGACGGGGTCTCACTCTTGCTCAGGCTGGTCTTGAACTCCTGAGCTCAAGCAATCTACCTGCCTCAGCCCCCCAGAGTGCTCGGATTATAGGTGCCATGTCCAGCCCCCAACTCACTTTTAAAATGACCCTTATCAGCTTGGCGCCTGTGGCTCAAGCGGCTAAGGCGCCAGCCATGTACACCTAAGGTGGCGGGTTCGAATCCCCAGCCCGGGCCTGCCAAACAACAATGATGGCTGCAACCAAAAAATGGCCAGGTGCTGTGGCGGGCGCCTGTAGTCCCAGCTACTTGGGAGGCTGAGGCAGGAGACTCGCTTGAGCCCAGGAGTTGGAGGTTGCTGTGAGCGTGATGCCATGGCACTCTACCCAGGGGGATAGCTTGAGGCTCCGTCTCAAAAAATAAATAAATAAATAAAATGACCCTTATCTATCACAGTGACCCAAGGAAATTATAGCTTAACTAGTTTTACTCTCACCTAATACATGCTAAAATAAATACATAACTTGAACCTGCATATAATTAAGTGTCTAAATCTAACTTTGTCTTACAGGAAATCTGGAGAACAGAGGAACAAGTTAAATGACACCTCAAGGAAGCAAACAGGTAAAACATTTGGGGTTTGGAACATTCTACAGGATGACTGTGAAGAGGTGAGAGAAGGGAGATCTCAAAGATCTCAGAAGCAAATATAGTCAGCCCTCCATCACTGTGGGTTCTGCATCCAAGGATTCAATCAACCAGGATGGAAAATATTGGGCAAAAAGGAGATGGTTGTGTCTGTACCAAACATGCACAGACTTTTTGTCATTATTCCATAAATAGTACAGATTAACAATGACTTATACAGCATTTATGTTGTAGTAGATGTTATAAGTAATCTAGAGATGATTTAAAGTATCCAGAAGGATGTATGTAGGTTATATGCAAATACTACACCATATTATATCAGAGACTTTGATCATAGGAGCATTCTTGTACCTGCTGGAGGTCCTGGAACAAATCTCCATGGATACCAAGGGGGAACTGCATAATGTGTATGTAGAACAAGTCTGGGACCAATCCAAGCAATCTAAGCTGCAAACAGACACTACTGAGTTATCCAGGGAATGAGCTTATACTCTGGGCATTCAGAGGACATTAGTTTTATTAGATGTGCTAATGGCATTATGGTTAGGTAAAAGCATCCACATTTTTAAAAAGGGATACTAGAAGTAGTATAGGGAGGGATAAAAGACATGCAGTCTAGGATTTGCTTCAAAATATTTTGGCAAAGGTCAGGTGCAATGGTTCATGCCTGTAATCCTAGCACTCAGGGAGGCCAAGGCAGGACGATTGCTTGACCCCAAGAGTTTTGGTTGCTGTGAGCTAGGCTGAGACCACGGCACTCTAATCTGGGCAACACAGTGAGACTTTGTCTCAAAAAGGAAAAAAAACAGCAAAGAAAAAAGGGGGAGGTAAAACAAATGTGGAGACATCTTGGGAACCGCTTAGTCTGGATGATGGGTATTATGGGGACCCATTGTACTAATGTCTCTTCTTATACGTGGGTTTGAAAATTTTCCAAATGAATTCTACAATAATAAATCCATAACTGTTAAAAAGGTTCCACTGGTTACCACCTAAAATCATCTCCTGCACCTTTACTCATATCAGCAATAGTAAATGCAGCAAGACTTGGGGACACCAGGTCCTCAGTCATCCTCATTGTATGCTCTATGCCCAATATAATGCCTAAGACATAGCAGCTACTTGATAAATAAAAAGAAGTACTGCTGAGAGCCATTCTAAGCACTACCTGAACTAACTCATTTAACCCTTATAACACCCCCTGAAGTAGATACTGAAGGATTCTGAAGGATGTACTATCCCCATTTTAGAAATGAAAATACTGAGGTCCAAGGGGGTATGTCATCTGTTGGGTATCAAACCTAGGCCATCTGGCCCCTGCTTCTAACCACCACATTGAACCCTCTCTAAAACAGTGTGGGCAATAACTAAGAAAATGACATAAAGGCTATGTTAACCAGTTTGATGAAAATATTTCAAATTGTATATAAAAACAGCACACTATACCCCATGACAGTATTAATGTACACAGCTATGATTTAATTAAAAAAAAAAAAAGTTTGGGAAAAGAAATTAATAAGAACCCTCACCCCTACCACCAAGTGGGAGGCCCAGCCCTGCATCCACCCCTCACCTGTGCGGACCAGCTCGCCAATAAGCTCCTCCTTCATGCGGATATTGATGGCCAGCTCCCGAATCTTCTGCTGGGCCTGGGCCAGCCGCCATTCAAAGGCTGTGGCACTGGGGGCTTGGCAAGTCTGAACCAGGGCCTTGCATCCACCAACCACTGTAACAGGCAGACTGTCAAAGATACTGCCCCATTGACAATAGGGAAAGCAGAGGAGTAAAGGGGAGGGACATTGCCAGGGTAGGGGCTGCCAAGGATGGTGCAGCCAGCCCAGGACCAGGGAGGGGAAGGGACAAAGGGTCCCTCTCTGCCCACCACCCAGCTTACCTCTGGGCCCTGGGATGGCCACATCCAGCTCTTCAAGGCAAAGCTCTGGGCCCTTCCTGTTGAGTGGACTCCCTGCGTAGACCCCCACCCTCTGGCTCCAGTTGCTGATTCCATTTCTGAAGGACAGGAGCAGAGTAGCAGTGTAGACTCCTTCCCCGCCCCAGCTCAGCCAATTCCCAGGAATGGAAAGAAGAAGAGAGGCCACTGGGCCCTCCATCTTCCACAGTCAATGTAACCCTAGGATGTAAGTCTGGCCAAATCAGAGTCCAGGGGCAGAGCTTAGGAGGTACAGGGCAGCTGTGGGCACATGGACCACCTTAGAGATTGAGAACCAGGAGGCCTGGGCCTCCCTGTATCAACCCTCTCCAGAAAGCCCTCTTGGTTCAGAGCTCCCAGCCCTTGTCCTACTCTCCCCTAGGGTTGGCTGGGGCAGTGTAGGTGAGGACTCCCTGATACCTGAGATCCTTCCCCCACTGCTGCTGGGAGAAGAGACAGTGGGTCCTCATCCTGCCTAGCCCCAGGCTCTGAGCAGGTCCTGGTCAGGTTAGGTGCCACTCACCTACGCAACTGCAAGGTCCGCCTGGGTGGCTCCTCTTCCTCATCCTCCTCTGCTGATGCAGCTGAAGAGCCACTTTCCAGTCTATCCATCTCAGCCAATAATTCAGCTCCAGCCTCCCTGCCATTCGTCACCTGCGAAGGGAGTGAGCCATTTCCCATCCTGAGTCTTTGTTCCTACAGACTCAGAACAGTGCCCTGCCTTGCATGCCTTCCTCATACTTCTGCTTCCTCAAGCCCAGCCTTACCTTTAAAATCTAGCTCAAATGATACTTCTGAGAACCTATTTTTATTTATTTTTTTATTGTTTTATTTTTTTGAGACTCTGTGCCCTGGGTAGAGTATGATGGCATCACAGCTCACAGAAACCTCAAACTCTTAGGCTCAAGTGATCCCCTTGCCTCAGCCTCCTGAGTAGCTAGGCACCCACCATAGCACCCAGATAATTTTCTATTTTTAGTCAAGACAGGGTCTTGCTCATGTTCAGGCTGATCTCCAACTCCTGAGTTCAGGCAGTCCACCTGCCTTGGCCTCCCAGAGATCTAGGATTACAGGGGTGAGCCACTGTGCCCAACCTTGGGAAGCCTTTTTAATTTCTTTTTTTGTTGTTGTTATTTTTTTAGAGACAGATTCTCATTTTGTCACTGCCGGTAGAGTGCTATGGCATCACAGCTCACAGCAACCTCCAGCTCTTGGGCTTAGCTGATTCTCTTGCCTCAGCTTCCCAAGTAACTGGGACTACAGGTACCCACCACAACGCCCAGCTATATTTTTGTTGCAGTTTGGCCAGGGCAGGGTTCAAACCCACCACCCTCAGTGTATGGGGCCAGTGCCCTACTCAATGAGTCACAGGCACCGCCCAAGCTTTTTTAATTTCAAGCTGGAGCAAGAGCTTCTGTCCTCCCCTCTCTCCACACTGCTCCTGTTTCTGTGGTACCTGGTACTTCTTGGGTGACAATCCAGCCTTTCTATCTTGTGTACAGGTTCATCTGCACCCAAGTCCTATTTCACCAACAGTACCCTGACAGAGCGGAGAGTACACAACAGACCTCTCCCAAGGGCTTTTAGAGCACAGATGGCCAGAAGCTTTCAAGAGGAGGAGGAACCTCCAACTGGCAGAACTTGAAGCAGGAGACCAAAGCTCAAGCACAAGGGAACTTCCAAAGAGAGCCACCACAAGGCAGAGGGGATGGCCTCAGAGGTGATGAGCTCTCTGTCTGCAGAAGTGTGAAAGTTTCTCTCTGGTGTGGGAAACCAAAACCCCACTCTGTAACCTCCCCACTCTAAGCAATCTCCACCTATCCCCAGTATGCCCTATGGCACTGGACCCTTCTGAGAAGCCTTGTAGTCATCCAAATCTTGACCTTTCTTCTAGGGACACCAAAAGCAGCACCTAACATTGCCCACTCATGAGAGCACAGAGAGGAACACATGTCCCTCATCACCCTGCCCCTAGCCAACTGGTCCAGCAAGGCCCAGCAGATACCCAGCCTCTCCCCTCCTCACCTCTTCTGGCTGCTCAGAACCACCTTCATCTCCAGGGAGGCAGGCAGTGGGCACCATGTCCAGGACATGGGCATAGGCACCACCCAGGGGGGCAGTGTGAGGCCGAGGCACAAAGGACCCGGATGGCAGGCCCTGCAGGAGCCCTGGGGCCCCCCAACCAGGCCGTACCAGCTCTAGCTGCAGTCGCAGCTCCACCATCTCCTCCTGCTGCTCCCGCAGCCGGTCACTCTGCAAGACAGGGTTCAGGTGCTGAGGGGGTGTGGATGGCAGGGACAAGGATGCCTTGACAAGCAAAAGTATAGGAAACTGAAGAACAGGTCCACAGCTACCCCAGCAACTCTCGGCAATGCACAAGTTCAGACCCAAACTCCCACCTGACCCTGTCACCACCTTATCACATGCCCATCATGCCACCTGGCCACCTCCACCACTGCCACCAGAGGGCGCCAAGAGCAAAGCCAATCTGGTTACACCTGGCACCAAGGTCTCAGGCTACTACCCCTCCAGTCTCCTCGCACATCCATCCACCACCCAGCAAAGCTATCCTACCAGGCAGTCCCAGACACCCAGCCGCTCACCTCCACACTTGCGCTCTTGCTGTGCACCCTCTAGATCCCCACCCTGACTCCTTCTCATCCTGAGAAACTGGGTTCAGACGTCCCCTCCTTCCTCTGAGAGGCCTTCCCTGCACTGTGGTAGGGGCAGCCCCACCTGCAGTTTGTACTGCTCCATGGCATCTTCCAGCGCAGCCAGAAAGTCTCGGTTCTCCTCCTCCAGGTGGGCCACCTGGCTCTGCAGGCTCAGCAGCTGCTGCGCCCCCTCATCTTCCTATAGGGTAGGGAGAGCGCTTCAGGGATAGGCGGTGGCAAGGCAAGCTGGGACACCCTGACCCTCTGTGCACTCTGCCACTGGCTCATCTAGCCCTCCTTCCTGCCTACTCTGTTCCAAGCCCTGCCCACAATGGGGGCTCCAAACTCACTAGTGGGGAGGACAACCCAGACCCTGCCTGGCCTAAGTCCCCTCTGCAAGCCATTTGGGCCATCTCTTGTAATTATTAATCGTGTTTTTATTAATAATAACATAACCACTGTTACTAGGAACAACTTAGTCCTCACCAGCGTGCTAGACACGTGTTACACCTTCTGCCCTACAACACTCCTAGAAGGTAGGTGCTAAGATTACACCTGTTTTACCGGTGGAGCTCCTAAGATTCAGTGACATTAAGGAAGTGACCACAGTCATTAGCAGAGGCCTCTGAGTCCCGAACATCCCAATGGACATGGGACCGGGACAGAGCTGGCTGTCTGAAAACCCTCTTCCTTCCTTCCCTGCTCACTTCCCCGAACACATCAGGCCATTGGTCACCTTTCTCCTGCTGGACGGTCCCTGGCCAGCCTGGTCCTCAGCGGAGGCGCTCTCAATGCCGCTGTCGGGCCGCGAGGCGGAGCTTAGGGCACTGCGCTCGCCCTCGACAGTGCAAAGCCAGTCGCGCACCTTGCGGACGGCCGCGCCCGGCAGCCCAGGTTCTGCCTGCAGCTCGCACAGGAGGCTATACGCGGCATCGGTACGAGCCCGGTAGCGCGCACACTCTGCGCCCAAGCGCGCAGTGGCCGCAGCGGAGGTGGCGGCAGGACCCCGGGGGCGCCGTCCGCGGTGGATAATGCGCGTCTCCGAGCGATGGCGCGGAGGCCGCCGTGTGCTGGCGGCCACCTCGTCAGGCGCCCGCTCAGCCTCCGGCCGCCAGTTGACCGCGGCCCAGTTGCGGATATTCTGGGCGCGGCTGGCGTAATTAAGGGTGTGGAGGGTCTCATCAAAGTCGGAGGAGGAGGGACTGACGCAGGCGATCATCACTGTCTTGGCATTCCCGCCCAGTGAGTCCTTGAGTATCCTGAGGGCGTCAGTGCGAGGTGTCAGGAGTCCCAACGCACCCGGCAACCCTAACCCGGCACCACCCCTCGGCGTGGCTCCCTGAGGACAGGGACCTCGGACTTGGTGTGGGCTTAATGTCCCCCACCCCCATGCCAGATAGGAGCCACGGGTGGCTCACCGGGTGATCTTGGAGTCACGGTAGGGGATGTGGCTGCCTCTGCGCTGGGGATCCCCCAGGGCGCTAATGACATTGCCCAGCGCCAGGAGGCTGCTGTTGATCTGGATGCTCTCCTTGAGCCTCTCGCCCGAACTACCAGTCTTCAGTATCCTCTCTGAGCCCGCCAGATCCACAAAGTGGAACTTGGAGATGAGCACCTGGCCGGCAGGGCGGGGCAGGCGGCTGGGGGCACGCCCTCGCTGCTCCAGGGTCACCGTGAAAACCGTGTGCGAGCGGCTGGACAGGCGGTTGAGATGCGTGGCCCCGGTATGTCGCGCAGCATTGCCCATCTCCAGGAGGCTCAACACCTCGTCCAGGCCCTCCACGTCCACCTCCTTCACCCCACACAGCACTGCAGGCAGGAGAGACTGTGAGGCTCAGGGCAGGGGCGCTGGGACTGACCCCCTCCCGCACTAGCCCTCCACTTGCTCTTCCCGAGCCAGGTGCCCCTCCCCACGTGCCCCTTGCCCATTCTATGCCTCTCACTCTGAATACAGAAGTATATGCTGAACCCAGTGGAGATAAGAGAAGCTAAACCTCCAGAGCCCAGGATTTTCATGAAGAGGTGCCCCTCTCAGGCAGGTAAGCCACCCCCTCAGGCAGGTGGAGCCTCCCCAAGCTGGATGCCCCATCAGTCAGGGAAAAACTCCCCAGTTCCTCACCAACATTTCCGCGCTCATCTTCCCGAAGCTGGATATCACGGCTGGCAGTGCCCACCTCAAGCAGGTCTCGGAATTCCTCTTTGTACACTTCTAGGTAGGACACGTGCACCAGACAGTCGAGCAGGTCATTCTCATCGATAAGCTTGAAGGCTTCCGCCATGGCCCTCGGGATGATGCCCTGCTCATCCTCATGAAGGGAGGCTGGGGAGACATCACAGGGCCTCCTGCCACTTGCCTTCAATTGACATGGCCCAAGGCCCTTAGGCCCTTACCAAAGCTGGAGAATGGTGCTCTGGAATGGAGAAGGCAGCAGCAGAGACCAGGAAGGGAAGGGCAGCCTGAGCCAGGCCACACTCCAGGGTGGTCAAGTAGAATTGCAGAATTTAAGAGTTAGAAGCAACCTCTCATAGTTCATTCAACCCCTTTCACGATATAAGCATCACCAACAGATTAGCAGATACCTTTGATGACTCCTTGGGACAGGGAGTTCATTATAGTCCATGCTCAATTATCTAAAGGGCCTCCTAAATTTATCCCAAGGAAGTAATCAGAGAACGTTCAAAAGAGCACTCTTCCTCATGACTTCAAAAAAAAAAGGAAACATCCTCAGTATCCATCCTAAGATCCAATAGGAAATCTGGTTAAATAAACTGCTTTATATTCACAATGGAAAGCCAGGAAGCCATAAAAAATTAGACTGAAAAATATTTAATGATATACAGAAATCTTCATGATACACTGCTAATAAAAAAAAGATACAAAAGAATGGGTACAATATAATCCCATACTTTAAAAGTATAATAATTTTTATAGAGAAAGGAACTGGCATGCTAACAAGGTAAGTGATTTTTTTTTTTTTTTTTTTTGAGACAGAGCCTCAAGCTGGTCCCCTGGGCAGAGTGCCGTGGCATTACAGCTCACAGCAACCTCCAACTCCTGGGCTCAAGCGAGTCTCCTGCCTCCGCCTCCCAAGTAGCTGGGACCACAGGCGCCCGCCACAACGCCCGGCTATTTTTTGGTTGCAGCCGTCATTGTTGTTTGGCGGGTCCAGGCTGGGGATTCGAACCCGCCACCTTAGGTGTATGTGGCTGGCGCCCTAGCCGGTTGAGCTACAGGCGCCGAGCCCGTAAGTGATTTCTTAAAATCAATTATCAAGTTTTATTTTGTGCATGTGTTTTTTGGTATTTTCCTAATTTTCTCCAGACAAGTATGCTTCTATAACTGCTATGCTTGAATATTCTCTAAATGCTTATGTCTCTCCAAATTTTAAGTATTGAAATCCTGACACCCACTGTGATAGAACTGGGGCCTTGGGGCGGCACTTGTGGCTCAGTGGGTACACCACCAGCCCCATATACCGAGGGTGGCAGGTTCAAACCCGGCCCAGGCCAAACTGGAACAAAAAAATAGCCAGGCCTTGTGGTGGACACCTGTAGTCCCAGCTACTTGGGAGGCTAAGGCAAGAGAATCGCCTAAGGGGCGGCGCCTGTGGCTCAAAGGAGTAGGGCACCAGCTCCATATGCTGCAGGTGGCAGTTTTAAACCCATCCCCAGCCAAAAACTGCAAAAAATAAATAATAATAATAGCCTAAGCCCAAGAGCTGGAGGTTGCTATGAGCTGTAACACCACAGCATTCTACCAAGGGTGATAAAGTAGACTCTGTCTCTTAAAAAAAAAAAGAACTGAGGCCTTGAGGAGATGATTAGTTCATGGGGGTGTGTGTCCCCCATGAGTCAGCTTAGTGCCCTTATGAAAGAGATCCTAGAGATACTCCTTCTCTCTTTCATCATGTGAGTTTTGAGACAGAGAGAGGCAGCCTATGAAGAAACAGGCCCTTGAATCTGCTGGTGCCTTGACCTTGGACTTCCTGGCCTCTAGAACTTTGAGAAATAAATTTCTGGGCTAGATGGTGTGGCTGTAATACTAGCACTCTGAGGTGGGAGGATCACTGGAGCTCATGAGTTCAAGACCAGTCTGAGCTAAGCAAGACCCAGCCTCTATTAAAAATAGAAAAATTAGCTAAGTATTGTGGCAGGTGCCTGTAGTTCCAATTACTCAGGAGGCTGAGACAGGAGGATTGCTTGAGCCCAGGAGTTTAAGGTTGCTGTAAGCTAGGGGAGAGGAAGGGAGAGGAGAGGAAAGGAAGGGAGGGGAGGAGAGGAAGGAGGGAGGGAAGGAAGAAAAGAAGGAACAAAAGGAAGGAAAGAAAAGTAGAAAGAGGAAAGAAAGAAGGATAGAAGGAAAGAAAGAAGAAAAAAAGAAAAGAAAAGAAAGAAAGCTGTAAGCTACCCAGTCTATGGCACTCTGTCTTAGCAGCCAGAAGGGAACAAGTAGTAACCTAAGAGAAAGCAGTTCCTATTATTTAAAAGGAGCTACTCCGGCTTGGCGCCTGTGGCTCAAGTGGCTAAGGCGCCAGCTACATACACCTAAGGTGGCAGGTTCGAATTCCCAGCCCGGACCCGCCAAACAACAATGATGGCTGCAACCATAAAATGGCCAGGCGTTGTGGCGGGCGCCTGTAGTCCCAGCTACTTGGGAGGCTGAGGCAGGAGACTCGCTTGAGCCCAGGAGTTGAGGTTGCTGTGAGCTGTGATGCCATGGCACTCTACCCAAGGGGATAGCTTGAGGCTCTGTCTCAAAAAAAAAAAAAAAAAAAAAAGGAGCTACTCCTTCAATTGGCCCAAAGCATCTCTCTGAAAACTCTGTGCACAGCCTCACCAAACCACCCTATAACCCTACTATGCAGGAGCCAAAGCTGCTTAGAAAACAAACACCCCCCCTTTCCCAAATGCTCCAACCAGAACACAGATTTGTGACCCTTAGTAGCCATCCCGACAACCTCTAGAGGTTGCCAACTTCCCATGCCCTTGCTCCCCTGAGGTCCCCAGAGCCAGGAAGAATGGCCCCATCTCTACAAAGCTGAGGCCACTCACCTCCAGCAACTGTTCCTTCCTGCCCTGCCAGCACATTGATGTGGCTGGTCCCACCCTGGACTGCAGATCTGTCCAGGAAATCTAGTCTCCCTCCCCCAGTGCCTCCACCTTCTAGACTGGAGGCAAGAGTATAGGGGCAGAAATTCAGGAAGACACAAAAACACCCGCCCCCAAAGTGGACACAAGGGTACAAACAGGGTGACTCACCCACACTGGTCTCCCCCATGGTGTACGTCTTCCCAGAGCCTGTCTGACCATAGGCAAAGACAGTGGCATTGAAGCCTTCAAAGAAAGCCTCAAGGAGGGGCTGTACACAGGCCTGGTACACAGCTTCCTGCCCAGTGTCCTCTGCCAGTACCACATGGAAGCCAAAGTGGCGGTCACGGCCCAGTGTGACTCGGCCCTGCTCTGGCTCCACCTGCAGGCAGCTCTGATGCCCATGCAGGAGCTCCTTGGGCAGCAGTGGGCGGACTCGTAGGGCTACCCTCACCGGGGCCTCCTCTGCCCCTGATAGCCTCTGGGCCTCCAGCCCCATGCTGAGAGTGCACTATGTCAGGCCCTGTGGAGAGAGCAGAAGCCCTGCCATTAGCAGGTGAGACCATAAAGCTCCTGACCTTGGAGGGATGGCAGGAAAGTGGTTAATAATCAGAACTACCTCTGGGGCCTGCCTGCTGCCCAAATGCTGCAAGGGCCAGATATATGTACTCCTCTGGGTAACAATTCATGGCTCCATCACTGGTCAAATAAGGTCCTACCTCCTCCCCTTTGACACCCAGGGACCTCAGTGCTCAGCTGCACCCTTCCCGTTTCCTGTGACACAGTACCACACCACACCAGGACACTCTTTTCCTAATACCCTCCTGTTAACCACTATACCTTGCGTCAGCTTCATAAGAAAAATCAATAGATTCTTCAATACCAAGCTCCCACCACACACCAACCCCTGTACCGCCGCCATCCACCTGTCACCACCTTGGCGCCACTGCCAGATTACCCACTTGTATCCCTCCACCTTCTGGACCTGGAGGTGAAAGGCAGGGGCCCTCTTTGTCTCCTTTGCGCTGTATCCTGGCGCCCAGTATAAGATCCGATGCTGCCCAGTAAGCAGTGAGGAATAATCTCATCCCAGGAACTTTCCCCATCCCTCCTCCTCTTAACGCATTGCTCGTCTCCAACCTCCGACCTGTCTCTTCCGTTTCATCGCCCTCAGCACCTGTACCCGCTGGTTCGTTCAATCATCCAGTCTCAGCTGAGGACCCGGTCCTAGGGACGCTGCTCTGCGGGACCTCCGCCCACCCCAACTCCGAACCCCGCTCGCCGTCCCGAGGGCGCCCCGCAGCTCCGCAGACGCCAGGGTGGGGATCCTGGGCGGGAGACCGCGAGCGTGGGCGGGGGCTCCCGGGAAGTTTCAAGCGATTACGAATGAGGGCCCAGGCCGCGCTGCCTCGGCGCTCGCACCTCCTGGCCAGGCCCAGGATGCCCACCTCAGCCACAGTCCACAGAGGGAACCCCAGGAGGCCGAGCAACAAGGCGACGCGGGTTTCGTGTGCCACTCCAGGAGCGTCCAGGCCCCGGCCCGCGTCGGAGGAGCGAGCACCCGCCTGCTCCACCCGCCGCGGCCTTAGCCCTCCACTCTTCCCAGGCCCACACCCACTTGCCCGGGTGCGAGCTCAGTCCCCGGCCGCGCACTCAAGCTCCCGGGCCGGCGCGGCGCGCTCGGATGCCGTCATCGGGACCCCCGCGCCCAAACCATCCTTCCCCGCCCGCAGCTCCGCCCGCCCGGGAGTTCGGGGGCGGAGGCGCAAGCCGGGCGGCGCCGGGGAGGCGGCCCGCAGACCGACGAGGCGGGCCTGGGCCTGGAGAGGGAACGCGTCTCAGGACGTCGTCTCCAAACCCGACACCAGACACTCCTGGCCTCAGCTCCTTCATCGATCTCGGTTTTCGACTCCCAGTCCCAAGCTGCGCCCCTGCACAAGAAAATCCGGCAGAAATTTTTATCTTCCCACATTTAAGAAATGCTTCCTTAGTTTTAAGACTCACTTTCGCACATTTCAGCATTTCTGAAATTGAGTTGTCTTCATTGTCAAGGGAAACTTGGCACTGGGAGAGGGGTGGTCCACGTGCCTGGAGGATGGTGTCTTCACTCACCTCTGAGACCTCTGATGTATTGTTTGCATTGGGAGCACCATACATGGGTGAATTTTAATTATAATCCGAAAACATATTCGTGACAGAAAACGTTTAGTAAAATAGGACTCATATACGTGGGTCACTATAAAAATTTTGAGACAGACGTTGTTATGGTCCATTATTTCACTTCCAAATAACACAGACCACTGCTCCCTTTCTGATTAACCCATGCAAGTTTCCATTTGCTCAACATATTGGTGTTTTAAGGAGAGCTCCTTTTGTTTCCATCCATGTGGATTTTACATTTCTTGATTTTTGTAATGATCTATAGAAGCTTCTAAAATGAGAAGAAACACACTTGTGCTTAGGGCAGCTTAGGTGACAATGGAAGGATATTTTATTGGCAAACATGTCAATTCGGTGAAAGAAAGAAAACAGCTGGTGGTTCATTGTTCATTTCCTTATGGAGATGCTTCCCTTTGTTCACTGGAACAATATATGGACATTTGCCTCAAAGCCAACTACAGTAAGAGACATATGCCTACCCCCTGATAGGTTCATACTGTTCAAAAAGGGTGTTCTTCAAGACTTCCATTCACTAAAATAAATTATTTAGGGATGCATCTTCTATGGGTAATTACAAAAGCTTTGAGACAGACTGTGTTATGTTCCATTATTTCACTTCCAAGGAATACATTTAACAGCATTCTTTCTCTTTTTTAAAATTCTTCTAAATTTCCAATTAATATGAGGGTACAAATTTTTAGGTTACATTGTTTTCATTTATAGGATTCAATTTGTAGTTGAGCCCTTAACCCAGGGGCCATGCTGAACACGCTCACATTGTGCACATTAGGTGAGATCCCGTCAAATGCCCTCCTTCTTCCCCTCTTCCTCCTTTCCCTTCTCTCTTGCTAGACTGTATTTGTATTTCTTTTTCTTTTTTTTTTGAGACAGAGCCTCAAGCTGTCGCCCTGGGTAGAGTGCCATGGCATCACAGCTCGCAGCAACCTCCAATTCTTGGGCTCAAGCGAGTCTCCTGCCTCAACTTCCCAAGTAGCTGAGATCACAGGCACCTGCCACAACGCCTGGCTATTTTTTGGTTGCAGCTGTCATTATTGTTTGGCAGGCTCGGGCTGGATTCGAACCCACCAGCTCAGGTGTATGTGGCTGGCGCCTTAGCCACTTGAGCCATAGGCGCCAAGCCAGGAGAATGTTTCAACTCCATCCAGGTAAACATAAATGGTATAAAGTCTCCATCTTTTCTTTTCTTTCTTTCTTTTTTTTTTTTCTTTTGGGACAGAGTCTCACTTTGTCACCCTGGGTGGAGTGGCATAGCTCACAGCAACCTCAAACTCTTGGGCTCAAGCAATTCTCTTGACTCAGCCTCCTGAGTAGCTGGAACTAGAGGCACCTGCCACAATACCAGCTATTTTTTTAGAAACAAAGTCTCATGGCTCGGCGCCTATAGCTCAACCGGCTAAGGC